CAGTATTAGTCAAGTCACTTAAACAAGATTTTGCACAGATGGCTGCCATGTTCTTCACTTTCTGAATTCCCAATTTGAGATCCGGAATCCAATTCATGGAAGTGCTGAACACTCACTGAGAACACTCATTCGTCCATATCTGTGGCCTGAATGGAGGTCATACCCTTGGACCCATCCCTTATTAGGTCCATATAAATGACTTGCAGAGAAACAGCAACAGGCAGCTCAACACGTCCTTCCCAGTCCCTGATTGGCTCTCTAAAGACCAGCACAGTAATCTTAAATCCCTGCCTGGTTCTTGCCCAGTCCCATCTCCTGTCCCTGTCTGGTTTCTGTTCAGTAATGTCCCCTGTTCCTGTTCACCTCAGGCTCCTCATCCACAGATTTTACTTAAATTATGGACCTTTGTCTAGTATACTAGCTCCTGCCTCAGTCTCTCAACCCTTAGACTGGTGACCTAGCTAGTCAGCTTAACTATTGGACCAGACTGCCTGCGCTCTAGTCCTGACAAAACTGCAACCAGTATCAGTGGGATCTGTGTTTTGAACATTAAATTCTATATATAATACTATGCACTGGGGGGGAGAGAGGGAGAAATCAGGTCCTAACCTGGGCACCCAAGTTTAAAGGAAACTTTTGGACTTAATCACCATTTGCCTCAGCTCTCATTAACAAAAAAAAAAAAAGGGGGGGGGGGGGAGGAAATAACACCTTCCTTCACCGAAGTGTTGTAAAATTTGTCATGTTTGTGAAGCACTCGCATACTACAGTGAGAATTATAGAAAAGCAGGTGAGGAAATAATTCTCTCTATACAGCAAGATCTGAATAGCATGCAGTAAATAAAACCTGGAAACACAATCTTGTACAAAAAGACTAAAACAAAACACCGAAAAGCAGCTCATTAAGCACAGTCCATCCTGAACACCGGATGGAGTAGGGGCCCTGTGGAAGTCTGACGTGATTTTGTTAAGAGACTTTATCTTAGTGAAAACAGATAAGAGAACAGCTTAAAGCAGGTATATCAAACATATGGCTATGGTCTGGACCAGCCTGTGGTGCCCCATCATCCAGCCTGAAATGCTGTCTCTGGGTCTAATCAGACCCACACAAGTCACAACCTGAGCCCATGGCACAGAGATGATCCACAGGTTGAATCTGGCCCATGGACCCATTCCCACTTTCCTCCCCCTCCCTCACTATCCCCCTTCTCCTACTCCAGCCAGTCTGGGACCTGTGCCACATCCAGCACAGATCCCAGAGCAGCCAGAATAGGAGCCGTATGTGCTGCAGTCCTGCCAGAGAGGCAGCCACTCTGTAAACGGTGGTAGCCCCTGCCGGTCTGCTCCACGTGTGGCACCTACTCTGGGACAAGTGCCACATGTAGCACAGGTCCTGGACTGGCTGGAGCAGCTACAAAATGAGGTATGCTGAGGGAAGGGGTGGGGGAGGTTTCCATGAGCATGATCCAGCCCATAGACTAGCCTCACACCACTCAGCCAGCCCACGTTGCCAGATGAGTTTGACAACCCTGACAAAGATTTCACAAGCAACCACGATTTTAGTAGTTCCTAGTTTGAGTCCAAAATTTTGCAACATTACTGCTCTTTTAACACAGCTGTGTTTAATCATCTATCTGAAGTTTTGTAGATTTCCATTTAAATCTCAAACTTAGCCTCCATCATATATATATATATATTTTAGCAGCAAATTCCACGGGCTAATTATGCATTGTGTCACCTAAGTAAATGCAACAAATCTCACCAAGCCCTTTACAATCGTGTCTACCAAACAAGCTAAAGGAGTCACGTGTACAAAGTTAGTATTCCACAAGACCCTCAAAAACTTGAAATATATCTGAGCATATGTATCCCCTCCTTTCCAAGGCTCCCATGCACAAAATTTTAATTAAATCTGAATCAAAGGATTCTGTAGTTTTTTTGTTTCTTTGTTCAACATAAAGCTAAATATTGTCTCCTGTCCACTGTAGGTCCTCCATAATACCAATTATGGAGATAATATATGTTTAGTCCCTAAGAAGTAAGAATTCTTGAAATTTGTGTCACGTACCTATCTTCTTATGCAGTCACATTTGAATCCTAATCTCACCATACAAACCCTACTCTGACAGGCCACACCAGTGTGATCTCTACTTTGCACTTAGTTACTTCTATTTTCAGCAAATACACACTTAAGTACCTGTTTTAACAACTACAGGAATCAAATTTAACTCTGAAGAGTTCTATCAAGAAACACTCCTTACATAAGAAATTTTCAGACTTGATCTAAATTTTAAATAACCCCGGCCATGTCTTCACAAGCAATGTGTTATTCCATTTGAGCAGTTAACATGCAGATGACCATGTCTGAAGCAGTGGTTTTTCCTTAGGTAGCAGCTTTAATTTAAGCAAAGATTCTGACAGTTTCTTAATTAGGGAAAGGCAAAATGTTCAGTTCAAATTTTTAGCTACATGAAATTTTAAAATCTTGTCCTCAAGGGTTTTTGTATCATTCTAACTATGCTTCTTAACACACGTAGTTAGATCAGTACAACCCCACAGTATCAATATATAGTTATCAATATAACTGTAAATATACAGGAATAAACTATGCCTGTTATAAGCATCTTTATAATGATATAACTTCAAATTTTGAAATGGTATAACATCATCACATCCTTAATTTGAAGTCACATTAATACAAAATCTAGATTTAGATCTAGTCTGAGAGAATAACAGGTATGTTTTCTCCAAAGTACAAGACTGTAAAGAAACTATCATTCAAATCTGGGATGTACATTACAAGATTTGTCTTTAATTTTTTCAAAATTCAGAACCTGGAGTGTTAGAGATACTAACTAGCAGCTTGAACAAAAACTTTTAAGTCCTAGTCCTGGCTCTGACAAGACACTTCCACTAGTCTTGGAAATAGATTGAAGGTGCAACGTGGCCATCTAATAAAACTGAACTGACTACCTAACAGAAGCATTTTGAGGACTACAGTTTTAAGCATAAAAAATCAATGCCCATTACAAAAAGGTACTTACAGCTAGATTATTGCTATTTCTGGGAGGAAAGAAATATAGCACATATATTATAAAGCTTCCAGTGACAGCTTATCATGAGTAATTTGTTTCCATCCAATTCAGCCTATATGTACTTTTCTTGTGTGCTTTGTTCTGCTTGTGAAGTACTTCACATACAAAACTATAGGGAAAATTCTTTGAAGCAATGTTAAATGATTTAAGTGGTTTTTGTTCTCCTGTTTGTTCAAAGTATTTGGTGTTTGTAAGACATAAGAGATATTCAAGATTCATTCCTAGACACCAAAAGCCTTGTTAAAGTAAATGGCATTGCCATAAAATAACAAACCTTAAATGCGGTTTCTATTAAGAGGTACCTGCTAGATATCAACAGTTAACAACTGTTAGGAGTCTAAGTACTAATATAGCACTGCACAGCATGACTTACATTACCCCTGCTTTTTCACCTATTACACTTACTTCTTCTCAATTTAGTAGCAGAGGAGAAAAGAAAAGAAAAGAAAAAGGCCATTCACAACAGTTTTTCTTGAAGAATGATAGAGCACAATTAAAATTATAGCAGTACCCACATAGATCTCACTATAGCAAAACTTCCAGCTAAAGAAGCAAAACAATATACAAACAAATTGGTTTTAGCTCAGACAATAAAGAAACACATTATGGAGTATTACTTGTTACCTTATTAGGTAAATGAAGGCTATATTAGGCATACTTTCCTCTATAGTTGGGACTGGAACCACAAGATACCTTATACCTCTTGACTGGGTTTAACAGATCAAATCTGGCATAGACACATTTAGGTTTTTCAACTAAATTCTTCCGTGTTTTTCTAATTTGGACTTTGCAAACTTTAACAGGTTTTTCAAGTTACTATGATATCCCATTACATAGTTCATACTTCTCAAGCAATCACTTCGGCAGTTCTCTTAATACACTTTCTTGACCAAAATTTATTAATTTATTTAAACCACTATCACAACTCAAACCAATGGGACTAGCCTTATTGGCACTAGTTTTACACTGCATTCAATTATTTCTTGTTTGTCAATTGCTGTTGAAATGGATTCACTTGTTCAGAGTTCAAGTAATATCCTTGCAAGTTCTTAGAATGTGTTGGAAAATAAACAGCATCACAAGCTTAAATCACATTACCAGTTCTTCAGACCACCATGTTTTCAATGCCAGTTGAAAAACAGTTTTAAAGTACAATATGAGAGTATGATTACAAAGCTGATGTCAAATCTGCCCCACACATATCCAAGCAGCATATAATGTACCAAAATAATAAGTTCTCTGAAACTAGATACATGATTCCTCTATCTTATTTCAGATCCAACTATTCTGTATGCATATGCATGTAAGAGACAACAAGGAATGAGACATTATGTACTTCTGCACAGACAGATGCAGCAGTTCAGAGTCCATCAAACTTTGAGTCAAGTCCACAAAAAACATCCTAAACTTTTCTGATCTTATTTTTTATCTGTGTTATTAAAACATATATTTATTCATAGATTCATCATTTAAATATTATATGAGTTCAACAAGTAACTTTATCATAACTCTCAAAATATGTGAAGCAGTACAAAATACAGCTCCCTAAAGTGTTCCTTCACATACAATGTAGACAAAGGACCATCTAAACAGGACAAATGGTATCAGTTTTGCATTTGTAAACAATTAAATACTTTTAAAATGCACAAGTCAAGTTTAGTTCCATCTAAAATCAAAAACTGAGGAGGTCTCAAAAGCCAAGCTGAATAAAACTGCATCTTCCTTAAACCTCATATTGTTAATATTCTCTTAACACCAAAAACCAGACCAGTCTTCCAGAAGTAAAAAGCAATGACTGCCTGAAGCCACTTCTGCCTCCGTAATTTGATAATATTTGATCCTAGGCCGTAATGAAAGGCATGCTGAGAAATTACACACTGGAAATTACTGAAGGCAAGTGCTTACCTTCAATCCTTTTTAAAGCTGACAGGCAAGTATCCCGGCTTGGAAACTCAAATGGATTATTACAGGTCCGAATGGTGTCACATTCACATTTCCCATTGATTATATTACAACCTGTTATAAGGTTTTCATTGCAAGGTTCAAATCCAAGTAGCTGGTCATCATCCCAATTTTCATCTGAAAAATAAAAAGGAAATCAATGTTTACTGTGTTTTCATACACAAGTTCAAATGCACTGAAGTTAGGCACAGGATTGAAAGCATTAGATTTCTTTTCAAACCTTTTTTTTTTTTAATTGGAATAACTTCTATATTTTTAAAATAATACCTTAGATTATACTTATTTTATATTAAATATAGGGCCAAATGCAACATAGGAGTATAGAGTTAGAAGAGCCATCATGCCCAATACCATGCTTTTGCAAGCAATAATTTATCAAAGGAATCCCCAAAATTAGACTGCAAACCCTCACATCCAATATAAGGAACAATATCCCAAACACCAAATACCCTATCAACAGACCACAGGTACAAGCAGGAAGATAAAGGGCACTACCAACACAAAATGGGAAGTCATTTGGTTAATATATTCTCAGAGGAGCCTACAAGGAAGGTCATGCCCTATACTATGGTGGAAGGCATGCCTCCTCCTCCCCAAATCCATTCCAATTTGACCAAAAAATCCTTTCTGAAACAAGATGCTTAGAATGTGAAGTCCAAATCTTGTATTTACAGACTTATTTCCATATCTTCATACTAATAACGGTGTTGGAGTTTGCAGGTAATTGAATTCCGTGCATGGGTGAAAACAGGCACTTAACACTCTTATACTTTGGCTAACTGCAATACCTTTTGCGAGCTACTTGAAGTCAGAATGATTTAGCATAGAAACAACAAGCGTTCAAGGCAATCTGGAATAATTATGTTTATGAAAGGGAAGTCAAAATAGTTTTATTGAATCAGATAACTAGGCATGTTCAATCCAGCTAAATAAAATAATAGTTCATCTAAAGCATTTACTTCTTCAAGAGGTCATGTCAAATACTCTAGCAAATAAGAGCTGGATAAATTGCAAGCAATGGTCATGACCAAGGAACTTTCTGATATCCAAACGTGCTCCTCACTATGCTAGAAGAATTGATTGAAAGTCACAGGCTCCTTTGCCACCATCTGTTAATGGAGGGTTTGGGGGTTTTTTGCTCAACGGCTGATACTATTGCTCAAACAAGAAAATATAGTTCTTAATCAAATCCAATGCAAATATGATAAATGCAAGTTTACATACAGTTGAAACAGATCTAGTTAAATACAATATACCTGAAGAGTAGAACAAAATACACTGCAAATCATCCTTCTATAAAGGGTGTTGCAGTTTCCAAGAAAGTCTGCAGACAGTACAGATAATGGGAAATTGATTTAAATTTAAAGCAATAATAAAAGTCAGCAAAGGTGCAAAGGAGTTTCAAAAATAATGCAGAGCAGTTAACCTCTTTATGGGAGGAAAGTATTTATTTACAAGCAAGTCTTGGGCAAGTCACTTTTGTGTACTCATTTGCAACATCTGTGGCCTTTGATACAGAAACACAAAGTTGCCTAAAAACATATAATGGAGCGTGTGCATGTTTTCTCATAATATTGTAACACTACTCTCTTCTATACAGATATCTGTACCTTTTGGTTGCCTCAGTTACCGTTAAGACTGCAATTTTTGGAGCAGTATCAAGAACTGAGACAGAACGAAAGGTATGTCTCTCTAAAAGGTCAGTGTACTAGGTCATCTCTCTGTGTTCAACTATGTACACCTGGTTGTGGGAGAAAAGGAGGCAGGACTTCACCCTGGTGCACAAGGAATAATTAACTACATATGGACTTTTACACAGTATTTCCTCGCTACCTCTCAGCCCATTAAGCCCCAGGAACAGTGCCTAGTCTACTGTGCACTAAACTCCAGATCACTTCTGTTTCTCCAGTGGAGATGCACGTCAAGCATCTGCTATGGATTCTCCAAGTGATACTTTAAACTGTCCTTAGCCTAAGAGCAGGAACCACAGCCCAAAGTATGGTTGGGCTCCTAGCAACTTCAACTAGCGCCTCCATTTCTGTTCATAACATATCAGGATGGAGCCTTTCCTGGATAGCAGTAAGATGGGTTGGGCCCTGTATGAGCAAAGACAGTCTACATTTAAAGAGTTCTCCACCATCAGTTGGGAAGCAGAATTCTGATTTATTGATGACACAATGCCTGGAGCTAGAAGCAGCAGGAACTGTGGCTCTGGTCAGCTGCAGGATTGTCTGGGTCCCAGTATTACTAGACAACAACTATGTCTCTCTCCAATCTGATCTTATGACCTTAGTATTTATGGCAAAATGAAGGAAGTTGAATAGATGTGCTGGCTTATTCAAACATAAGGGTTTCCAAGAGGGAGTTTTGGTCTCTCTCTATTTGGTATTTTGTTCAGCTGAGAAGATATTCATAACTGATGGCCCCATCTTGGGCCACAGCCGATTATGTACCCCACCACAAAAATGTAATCCAAGTCTCTCACTCTCAAAATACTACAGAAGCCCCCCTGGCTCCAGAGGCTGGATCTGGATCATGAGGTTATCAACCCCTCGTCTAGCAAGCAATTTTGTGTGACTTGACAACACTTTCCTGGTTGTCCACTTTCCTGACAACACATCATTTCAGTGAATGGGAAAGATTATACAGATACTGCCCCCCCACTTTGATTCCTGCTCTACCCAAACTTTAAAACTGCCTGGGAGAGGCAATGGCATTTCTATTACAGCAGCAGTAAGGGAATAAGGTGACTTCATGGCACATAATAGCCAGGGATCCAGGTTTTTGGTTTCCCATGGAAAAAACACAGATTTCACCTTTTACCCAAGAAAAATGCAAAAAGCCTTCTGCAGGCTGGCAGAGTTCCAGATTGCCAGGGACTGGGGGGAAGCAGAAGGTGGGCAGTCAGGCAAGGGGTGCCATGTGCATGTATATGGCCACCAGGCAGCCTTGTGCACAGCTCTGGCAGGAAAATCGGCAGGGGGGAGGGATTGAGGTCACCCATAGGAGGAGAGGGAGTGAGCTGGGCAGGACTTGGGCCGAACCTACTGCCAGCCGGGCAGTGTGTGGGGCTTGGGTCCTGGGGCTGGAATGAGCAGCTACAGGGCCCCAGCGGGGAACAGAACAGGGCCACATGTGGCTCACCCAAGGGGAAGGGGGTGGGGCCGGCTCCCAGCCATTGCACACACTCCCATGAGGGGAGGGAGACCCATGACCCCCAGATCTGTGCGTGGATTTGGGGGTTTTTTAATCAGAATTTGTAGGGTTTTTTAATCAGAAAAACCAGGATACCTAATAATAATCCACTTGATTCTTGCTAATGTTTCTTTATTAGATAGGTGTTAATGAACCGGTCTCCTTTTTAATGGTCTTGAAGTTCCACTACTTCAGCTATTCTTTCTTCTGCAATTATGTTGTCTGATAGACATTCCTGGTAATGACTCTCTCATTTCACAGCCTTGCAGACTACTTTTAACTGTAGCTAAAAACTTTAACTCCCATGTGGTAATATTAACTCCAGTGAAGCACTGGAGGCACTGTCAAGACACTCAGGAAGACCAGAATTTGATTTAAAAATCTGAATAAGTACATTCAACTATGCTGACCACAGAACCAGTGACAATCTTTTTCAACTAATTTTAAACATTTTTGCCTAGTTCCTTGTGTTTTTTTTAAACTTAATATATTACTGAACATTCCAAAGAAGTTATATTGATTTTTGCTTTGATCTTAAATGGAATTATACAGCACTTGACCCCCAGCATATTAGTAAAGCTTCTAAATCCTCTTTCGCCGGAGAAAAATGTGTTGTGTTATCTGTGATGATGCACCACACAATCTGTACCCTCCTTTTCAAAATCTTAGATCTGTCCAGGTATCTTATAATGATCTTTTCAGTAAAGCATAATTTAAAGAATTCACCAATCAAACAGTCAAACAGTGAGACAACTAAGTTAGCTGGAACACTTATCTCCACAAGACAATGGAACTTTATGTTCACTCTTTTATGCTGTTAACTAGTACTAGAATGCCAGCATAAACCAAGAGACGCATTCTTTTAACACAATGCAAGTACAAGATATTTCAGTTCATACAGAATATACAGAAATCTGTTGAATTCTTTCCATGTGCCTTTCCGCTATCCTGATTCAGGATTAAAGGAGACCCTTCCTCTGAAAAACCACTGCATTTCTGACTTTTACTCAAACTACACTTCTGACGCTTTCCTTTGATTTTTTGGAAAACAATGCTTCATTTTCATGAATGGCTCTTTCACTTTTTTCTATATAATTCTATAAGTAGAGCTGCAGGATGGTGAAGTGTCTACTTCCCTGACTTCTTTACAATACAAAAGCAGTTAGGAAGATTCGTAACTGAACACTCTATCATTAGAAATACAGTATCCATGGCTAGGGACAGAAGTTACACATAAACTAGTATAAGCTATTGAAAACCAGTTCAAATCTGAAACAACAAAATTTCAGTGCACATACACTGCTTTCAACATGGCCAAAGCTAGTTTAAAATAAACCTGGATGAATGTAGTATCAGGATTTACTGATTGAGGTTAAATTGGTTTATTGCACTTCTGTCCAATATCCCCTCCAAATTCAAGTGAACTCACTGTCCCCCCAGCATCCCAGAATGCTTTGAACCTCACCCCAGGAACCTTCCCTCAGAAGGTTGGGCAGGCTAGCTTTGGCCCAAGCTGTCTGCTCTAGCTGAGCAAGGAGGCATGCTCTAAAGCCTGCTAGCTCCTAGCCTGGGCCACTGCAGGCATGTGGCTGCATTTTCAGAATCAGAACTGAATGTCCATTCACTTGGTTATTGGTTCAACCTAAGCAGCTTAGACTAACCTGCAAAGACTGAATCGATACAGCCTCAAGCCTTTTGACTGTCTGTACTTAGCCTATGAAAAGAACTGGATATGCCCTTTTCTAGAGAGAAAAACTACAATTGTTAGCAACTACCCTAAAGCTTTGTCTTGATACACAGGCTTGCAACATACCAATCATGTGCTGAGAAAGTAAACATGCAAAGAATTAGTATAACATTACTCCTGAAAGGACAACGTATAAAGGGAGACACCAACTTGAAAGTGGTGCACTGAAATTGTA